GATACATTTTGCTTACCTAATTCCGGATAGTATTGGGAGCGGGTTGGCAAGAGCCAAGGCTTGGGGACCCCAGAGTTCGGGTAACTCTGGAGACTAACCAGCTAAAATCGCATATCTTGCCATTGATATCGCTGTCTGGCAAGCTTTCCCACTGCTTGTCCAGCTAGGACCACCCTGCTTGTTAGGGCTTTGGCGTAGGGTTAACAAGTGGGATGATTCCCTGCTCCTACCCATGCGATGAATGAGCATTTTTGTTGACCAGGAAACCGGGATAAACTCCCTTTCCCTTTTTGAATACTGTTGCAATATCCTTAATGCCCTTCTGAACAGATAGACAAGACCTGGGTTTAACATTTCATCCAAAGGACGATGCAGTGCTTCCTCACTATCAGCCTTGTGTGACTTTTGATTTAAAGTCCCACCTTCGGCTTGATCCTTCAATCTTCTGACCCAGAAGCAAGACTGCAATCAACTAAGTGTATCATGCCATGACATGAATTAATCAATTGTAACTGCGGACAAAGAAACAGTTGACTGTTGTAATTCAACAATGTTAAAGAAAGTACAACATAAAAGGTTAAGTTGAAACACAAATGTTTGATAATAAAACACGCAAAGAACAAGAACATAAATATTATGAATCTGAGGAATGGGCAGAGAAGTAAATTGAATGGGTAGCACCTTCACAGAGCCTACGAAATGTAACAGACTGAACAGGCCTCCTTCTGTGCTGTAAATCTAAGATTCCATAATGTACTTTTTCAGATAAAGTAAGTCTTTATGCATTCATTTTTAAGTTTGTATTTAAAATGCCTTATTTTAGCCCTCCGAGACTCTGGCCCACGTGAAGGGCACTATGAAATGCAGGTCGTCGTTGTCTTATCAAGGACTGAGTTCACGAACACTTCTCTCATTTCTGGTACCTGAAATTGAATCAGATGGGGAAGTGAGCTTCCTCATATTCCCAGCTGAGGAAAGCACACTGAAGCTACTGGGGCTGTAGACTGGATGATCCAAATGAAACAATCACAGCAGAGAGACAGCTGCGGCAGCTGGAAAAAGGGAGTGTATGACATATTAGTTGTAATAACCGACTGATTGCACTCAGGGGATTAAAGTCTCCTCTTTCTGTCGGCTGCAAGCGCCTGTGTTAAATAGATTTGGGGACCTCAGTCCAAGCTCCTCATGGGTGCTGGTCTGTAGTAAAGAACAACCCAAAAAGTGCATTGAAATGACCATCTCACATTGTGAAGCCATTGAGTAAGGCTGATAATTGCCACAGTAGAGGGTGCTATTCTAATAATAGGGTTAAAGCACATAAAGGTAGAAATTCCATCCGCATCTACAGATTTATCTTTTTAGGAAGCATTTTTGAGCATCAAAAATTTTGAAAGTTCCTAAATATGGCCTTGATTTTCCAGTTTTCTGTAAATTATTTTAAGAACCACACAAAACAAACCTCAAAACTAACAGTGAATTCAACAATTGGCCAAATTCTGGATGCTCTGAGATGTTAAGTGAATAGAGAAAATCTAGACCTAGTCGGGACTTCTCCGTTATTGTTGGGGCACAATAGAGAAATGTTCACTGAGCATCAGAGCTTGTTATGCCTGCGTTATGAGAGTATTGGAAAGTGACACTGGATACACAATGTGGGAACATACAACATTCTCCATCACAGATATCCCTCATCCTTTGCACAAAGCAAAAATCTGTCACTGCGAGTTAGGTTCATGAGCTCTATTTAGTTATTTCCAACCTCATTTTGTAAGCAGCTGGGCACAAACTGCAATAGGCGTGTGTTCACCTTGCAGAAATCAGAAACTGGTGAAAAGAGAAATATGAACATACAACAGTACTTCAACACAATCCATTCTTAAAATATATGGAAAGTCAATAATGCAGTCATTTTACAGTAAATCTTGTGAAACGCTTTGGGATGTTTTCCTGACGGGAAAGGCACTATATTAAAACGCTTTTGAGACGTCTTGAAGACGTGATAAGGCACTATATCAAATGCTAGGATTATTATTACATACCAAATGCAAGGATGATGATGATTATTATTAATATAAACTCAGTTGCAATTGATTATTGCAAGGACTCTGATATTCTACAGTTCCCAAATTTGACGGTGGCTCCACTCACTAACAATGAACACAGGCGTATTGGCAGAGGCTAGAAATACACAGATTATAAAAGATACAGAGTGTAGGCTGTCATCCAGTCTATGGATTCTGATCACTAACAAACAACCTAGGCTTAGTTAAAACTTGGTTCTTGCTGCTTATGTAATCAAAACCCTCTGGTGATATCACCGCCCTTGAAATCCATTCAGTATCTTCTACATAATTCTGCTCATCTGCCAGTAACTAAAATAAACATTCTGTACTCCTACATAATTGCAACTATTTGGATGTACTATTGTTTTCCACGGAACTTATTACCGCGCTCTCTCGAAGGATTGTTTACTTTTTTTCTGCAAGCTTCTTGCGGAGTGAACACTCCCACTGCTTTGTCGGGGGAGGCGGGGGATTTAAATCTGCTCCTCATCAGAGCAAGCTTACCCACTGCAGCTGAATTACTGCCCCCCAGAGAGAAACAGCGCTCAACTACCCTTCATTTTTCCACCAGTTGGTTCCCTGCTTTCAGTGGCAATGGATATTGCTTCTTATACCAGCCTTATATACCTTATTACAACTGTTCATAGCACAAACTTGTGATCTCAGGAAACAACTATGTTACAATTTCAGGAATAAATCTATTATTAACAGTACTTATTGCCATTCCACAGCATGTGTCCTTATATTGTACTATTGTAGTTTCTATAAATTATACTGTGGGTACTGTAGAATGATCCGTAATTCACAAGCTATGAAGTATAGACAGGTATTTGCAAACTTCCAAGACACCGTAAAACAGTCATACCGTTTAAGCTACACAGCAGGCTATTGAATAAGATGATCTGGTTTCACTAATCTTTTGTGTTTCTTATTTTGAATATCTCAAACCCACAGACATATTACAGTCAAAGTATGACAATGGTGTACACTGTGAGTACCTTCAAATCCAACTGTTGGGGAGTGATAAAAGCAGCTTTAAAACAGTGTTGCATCAAATCCGAATGAAACTCACAAATGCCTGCTAGGATTAAGACCCTGTAACCTTCTGCCCAGCTGTCTATTCAATACCTGTAAGACTTCTTTCAGAATGAACTACCTAAAGCGGGATCTATTCTGGATTTAATTTACAACGCAAATTGAATACCTTGTTTTAAAGATTATGATGACATAATGTCACAAACTGATGAGGACTAGTCATATCGCTGTTAAAGATTTCAGAATGGATTGATATAAACTGAGCAGTTTATTTCAAAAAGGTATTTTCGAAAAGAAGAATGATGAAAGAGACACTATCGTCAAGTTCAAAAGTGTTTGTTTTCTTTAAGGGCCCTGAAGCAGTGTGTGCGCCGTGCGTACAGTGCTTAGTGAGTCAGCGTGAAGATGTGTGTTGTGACTGCCAAGAAACTGATCAGGGTACATTAGTGAAGACCACATCTCAATCACAGTGACGTCAATCACCCATTGCCGGGAAACGCTCGCTACCTCACCTTACAGAAAACAATCCACTGTATAAATAAATCAAATTCATATCGAATAAGGTATCAACGACTTTACATCAGCCATTCGGTTTGGATGGTGTTTAATACAATGGAAGATTGTTTCCAGAAGTGACACTATTGCAACCCGTTTACAAATAGTTTGAATAAATTTGTGTCATATCACAACACCCAAATCACAGAAACAAACTGCAATAATGCATAGATAGTAAACAAAGAACGACAAAACTTCAAATTTCATATTAAATAAGTTGGAATAAAACAATATCATTTGATCCATCCTGTAGTTACCACCCCCCCACCACCCCCAACCCCAAAAAGGCACCCTCTCAAATTGAGTAGAAGGTTACAATTCAGTTCTTCCCTTGAACCTCGAGGTGAGTTAAGTGGTTTTTTTTTGTGTGGGAAGCTGGAAACATTTCCACAGTGTCTCCCATGAAATTTTTTAATGAGGCTGCAAGGCCCATTATTCGGACAATCTCTTAAGGAAAATGAAACTAGATGGAAAGCGTGATGCCTAACTCCTATTCATCTATTGCTGTGTCAACCTTAATAACAATATAAAATAATAATTCTTGTATTTGATATAACACCGTATCATGTCACCGAGACCTCTCAGAGCATTTCACAGGAATTCTGTAAAGTGCAGAGACTGTGTATTTCGTATGTGAATGTAGCAGTAATGTCTCACAAACAGGCATGAAGTGAATGATCACATTTATATGGTGAATTGATGTCCAGGACACCTGGAGAAACTCCCTTCTATTTTTTAGTAGTTCATGGGATCTTTTACATCCACCCAAACAGGCAGAAAGGACCTCATTTTAATCTCTCATCCAAAGGATGGCACCTTTGACACCCTGAATTGAAATGTCAGCCTGGACTATGAGCTCAAAGTCCTGATGGGGTTTGAACTCATAACCTGACTCAGAGTTCCACCAAATCAGCCAGGATAATACCTCGAATGTTTTGTCTTTGATATAAATGCTCAGTTACTCTTTGCTTGCACATATGACACACTTTGTTCCCCGTTTCTAAAAGACCTTATCGTCATATGAGGCAGTGTATTTAATTCTGTGAGAATAAGCGCTAAGGTTTACTGGCTTCTTTAAAGACGCTGCTGTGCACAATTGGCTGCTGCGTTTCGCCCACAAAATACACAGTCGATAACTTTACAGTATATTCTGTGAAGCCCTTTGAGCGTCTCAATGATGTGATAAGGCGCTCTTGCAAATGTAAAGATTATTGTGATTATTTGACATGACCAGGAAGATTTATTTTTGCATGAATCCCGCCAACCCCTGAAACCAGGTAACTTTGAAATCGCCCCCAGTTCTGCTTTTTTTTATATAAAAAAGAAAATGATCTGTAAAGAACTAACCTGAACTCGGGCTTGAAGTCTGGCTTCAATCCGTAAAAGGAGGTGGAAAGTGTCAACAACCAGCGAGGGTTGTATTTTCCATATTCACATTCCAGGAAGGGGGGCGACCACTTGATGTGAGTTTTATCCCCCAGGTACCTCTCTCCTCTCTTCCTCATGGGGGAATGCATCGACCTCAGGTCATCTTTCACAAGCTTCCTGTAGAGGAAAGAGGCCGGTGATCGCTGGGACTTGAGCTGGTGAAACCAGTCGCCATTCACCGTGGCGTTGGTCAGGCGGTGGGCTGTGGAGGACAGGTCTTGCAGGAAGATCTGGTTGTCCACCCTGGTGGCTTGAAGGAACACTTGAGGAGGGCTCGTGAACGGCTGGGTATTGAAAGTCACCACAGCTCTGTGCACCTTGGGGTCACCCTCAAGAATGCTCCTCACCAGGGCGTAGTACCACTCCATGTCCTCCTTGATGGTCATCTCCCGCACGGCGTTGGTCTGCAAGATCATGTTCAAAAAGTTAGAAGCATGGACCATGGTGTCCTGGACGCTGCGGAGAGACAGGTGCAAGTTCAACGAGCGAGATGCCGCCTTCAAACCTGACAGCTGGTACCTCTTGGTGCAGTTGGCACGGTAGAGGTTCGCAGGGTCTCCGGTGTGGAGGAAAGTCCAGATAGGAGTGGGCAGGGAGTCGCCAGGAGATCTGAGCCCGGTTGACGGGATAGGTGGCCGGTTGTAATCGCCGGGCTGGTGCTGCTGCTGCTGGAGGTGCTGGGGGTGCTGGAGGAGGTGGGGGTGCTGGAGGAGGTGGGGTTGCACAGATTCCCTTTCATATTTGCCCGCTTGCTCTCTCGGAGAAGCTGCGGGTCCGCCCGAACCCTGGCTGGACCCAGTGGCGAAGCCAATGTGGATCTGCGAGAGCAAAGCCAGCAATAATACAGCCATAGCTTCTGTGTCGGTCAAGATCTCGGGCTGGCTGGCTGGCTGGCTGGCTGGCTGGATGGCTGGCTGGCTGGCTGGCTGGCTGGCTGGATGGCTGGCTGGCTCGCTGGCTGGATGGCTGGCTGGCGGCTGGATGGCTGGCTGGCCGGCGGCTGGTATCCCCGGCGAGGTGTCTTGTCTTGTCTCTTGTCTCTTGTCTTTTAAAACACTTTGAAAACAATGAACCCTCCCTCACTATTATTGCAGCAGTGACTGAGGTGAGAGGCGGCTCAGAGGGCTGTAAATACACACAAACACACCCCCCCCCCCACACACACACCCACACCCACACACACACAGAGACCCTACACACACACACACACCCACACACACAGAGACCCTACACACCCCCTACACACACACAGACACCCTACACACACACCCCTACACACACACACCCTACACACACACCCTACACACACACACCCCTACACACACACAAACCCTACACACACACACCCCCTACACACACACACACCCTAAACCCCCCCTTCCCCACACACACACACACACACACAGACAGCGACGCTCTGAGCTGAGCAGCTTCACATCGTCCTCTCTCTCTCTCTCTCTGAGCGATGCTATAGTTCGCTGTTTACATCTCCATCCCTTCCGATGGCATTGCTGTCTGTCTCCTTCCCTCTCTCCCTCCTTCCCACTCTCTCTCTCTCTCTCTCTCTCTCTCCTTCACTCTCTCTCTGTCTCTCTCCTCTCTTATCCCCTTCTTTCTTTCTTTCTTTCTTTCTTTCTTTTATCTCTTCCCCCCCTTTCTCACTCTCTCTGTCTCTCCTCTCTCTTATTCCTCTTTTAGCATCTGAAGATCCTCCCCAGCAAGAAACCGTTCAGGATCGGGACCGGGGAAGGTTTGTGCGCTGCAGACTTTCTCACCGTCTCCATCCACATCCAATATAGCCCCACAGCCCCAACCACAGCCACAGCCCCCAACCACAGCCCCCAACCACAGCCCCCAACCACAACCCCCAACCACAGCCCCCAACCACAACCCCAACCCCCAACCACATCCCCAACCCCCAACCACAGCCCCCAGCCCCCAACCACAGCCCCAACCCCCCAACCACAGCCACACCCCACAGCCACAGCCCCCAACCCACCCCCAACCCAGCCACAACCCCAACCAGCCACAGCCCAACCCCCAACCGCACCCCAACCACAGCCACAGCCCCCAACCACAGCCACAGCCCCCAACCACAGCCACAGCCCCAACCACAACCCCCAACCCCCAACCCCCCAACCACAGCCCCCAACCACAGCACAACCCCCCAACCACAGCCACAACCCCCAACTACAACCCCCAACCCCCCAACCACAGCCACAAGCCCACCCCCACTTTGCAGCGGGTTTATTCCCGAGCAGAACAAGTGCTGCTGAGGCTGTGGGCTGCTAAGGGGAGGGGGGGTTTGGGGGCTGTCAGGGCGGCGGGTGGGAGTCTGCGTTTAACACCAGGACTCGCATTAATGCCAACACTTTCTCCTCTGGTCACACCACTCACTGCCTCCCCTCCCTCCCTGCCTGCCCGCCCGCCTCGCCTCTCCGCCCCCCCCCTGCCCGCCTGCCTCCGCCCTCCCCTCTGCCCTCGCCGCCTCTGTCCTGCCTGCCTGCGCCGCCCTCCTCCCTCCCTCCCTGCCTGCCTCCCCTGCCCGCTCCCTGCCTCTGCCTGCCCTGCCCTGCCCTGCCCTCCCTGCCTCTCTCCGCCCTGCTCCCTGCCTGCCTCCTGCCCTCCTCCCTGCTGCCCTCCCTGCTGCCTGCCTCCTGCCGCCTGCCTCCCTGCCTGCTCTCCCTGCCTGCCCTCCCTGCCTCTGCCTGCTGCCTGCCTGTCCTCCCTGCCTGCCCCCCTCCCTGCCTGCCTGCCCTCCCTGCCTGCTGCTCTCCCTGCTGCCTGCTCTCCTGCCCTGCCCTCCCTGCTGCCCTGCCCTCCTGCCCTGCCTGCCTGCCAATGGTTCGGCAGTACTCCAGGGCACTACTGATGACAAACCAGCCAACCTGGCTCATCGGGAGCACTTGGAGGAGCAGACCAGTCATTGGGGGCAGAAACTCGGCCCACTTAACTCTTATTAACTCTACAAACCAAAGCTCCAATGGGTAGGCTAGTCCTAGCTAGACAAGCAGTGGGAAAGCTTGCCAGATAGTTGTGTGGTTTTAGCTGGTTAGACTCCAGCAGTATCCCAGTGGATCCCCAAGCCTTGGCTCTTGCCAACCTGCACCTAATACTTTTAGAATTAGGTGAGCAGGATGCAAGGAGAGAGAAAAGAAAATGCAACCATAGTCTTCTTCAAATGTTGCCCAAAGTGATAAAAAAAACACCCTGTTACTAGCATTTGTGTCACATTTGACCTGTTATCCTCAATGCTACACTTGCAACACAAAAATGCAATCCACAAGCACAGCAAAGTTTTAGGTTTTTAAGTATTTCTTTTTTAGCGTATGTTGAAATGACCTCATGATGTGAAAGAAGCTATACCAAATGTGCATATTATTATTATTATTATTTGAAATCTAGTCAAACACATTATAGTTCCATTCTTCTACTGAAGTAGATCCTATCTTGTTCCTTGAGAATTATACAGTGAAAATTTTCAGGTCTAATCTTGAATTGGGGATGTTTTACAGAAAAATATTAATACTGAAACCAATATAGATAAACGATTTTTTTAAAAAAAGGTCTCTGATATAGTTTCTAACCAACAGATCAAAAAATGTGTATTTCCTAGTGCCTTTCACTTCAGTTATGGCTTTATTTCGAATTGAGCCTATTCTTTTCTCTGTATTTTTGCATGTAATTTGATCAAAGACAATAATCTGTTTTCCATTTAAATATAATCACGAGAGTATTTAAATGCAAATGCTATAAATAAAGTACAGTGGAAAGATTCGTAGCTGATTCAAATGAATAATGTCCTTTTGGTCTTGTGGTGTTGAACATCAAACAGTCATCAAACATTTTCAATTTCTAAACCAGACAACAATAACAACAACAACAAATTACATTTGTAAAGTGCCTTTCACATTGGGAGGACATCCCAAGGTGCTGGACAGTCATTGATTTGGACCCGAGCAGGAAGTTGTGATCAGGGCGGGTTTAGGTCAGGGAGGGTAAGGTTAGGAGTATAGCTGAATGCTCGGTCAAAGAGAAGGGCCTTGAGACGTGTTTTGAAGGAGGAAAAGAAGGAAGCAAGACAAAGGGACTGTGGCTGGATTTTCAAAGGGTGGGGCAGAGAAGCTGAAGGCCCGGCCGCCGATTGAGGGATGGGCTGGGAGGGGGATGCTGAGCGGAGGGAGTGAACAAGTTGACATGGGGTAAGCAGGTCACAGAGGTAGGAAGGTGCAAGGTCGGTGGAAGGCCTTCAAGGCAAGGATGAGGATTTTGAACTTTATCCTCTGGAGGATGGGGAACCAGTGGATCTGGGAGAGGTTTGGGATGATAGGGTCCCGGAGCCTGGTCCGGGAGAGGACATGAGCTGCAGAGTTCTGGACGATCTGCAGCTTGTGGAGGAAGGAGTTGGGAAGGCCACCAGGCAAGGAGTTGGCGTAGTTGAGACTAGATGTAATAAGTGCGTGGATGAGGGTTTCAGTGGCCTGAGGGGGGAGGCTATAGTGGAACTGGGTGATGGCAGAGCGGGTCATGTCATGGATGTGGAATAGAAAGGACAGTTGCGGGTCAAACAAGATGCCAAGGTTCCAGACTGGCTCAGTGAGGTAGAGTGTGCATCCTTGAATGGTGATGCTGTCAGTGCCTGAAGTGTGGAGGTAATGACGGGAGCCAAACAGGAGAGCCTCGATCTTGTTGACATTCAACTGGAGAAAGTTAGCTCTCATCCAGCAGTGGTCCTGGAGAGGAAGCAGAGAGATAGAGTTTGTGTCATCCGCATACATGTGGAATTTGACCCCATATCTGCAGATGATTTCACTAAGAGGGAGCCTGTAAATATTGAAGAGGAGAGGACCAAGGACAAAGCCCTGAGGAACGCCGCACGAGACGGCGTCGGGGCTGAAGGAAAAGCCGTTTGTGGAGACAATTGATGAATATGCATGAGAAAGCTTGCTGATATATTCAGAAAGGGATCTTAATGTTTGAAATATAATAACGGGTTTCTGCATGCATAAAGCTCACACAGAATCATAACAGTTAAGTGTCTTGTACTCAACAGAGCATCTTGCTGGTTGCAAATTAGCTGCTAGTATAAGTATATGTACATATTTGTCATTTTCAATATCTGCAAGGCACAAGAAAGAATATAACTTGTACATAAATGTTTATCAGATATCAGATTTCATGTGAGTGTAATTTTTACATGCTGATGGGAAGTATGAATAAAAACTCTACAATAAACAACAACTTGCATTCATGTGTTGTAATGTCTTGGATCACTTAACATTGGCAGAGCTTGATGCTTAACCAAGGAGAGAGGAGACCACAGGCACAGTCAAAAAGCAAGGTCTTCAGTTGTGATTTGAAGACAAACATGGAGGGGCAAAGTGGAGGGACTGAGGCAGAGAGTTCCATATTTCTGGACACAGTGGTTCATAGCATGGTTGAAGATAGTGGAGTGGAAGAGATAAGGGAAGTGCAAGAGCCAGAGCCAGGTGACTGAAACAGCAACAACAAATTATAAATTTGTTTAGCGCATTTCATGTCAGGAGGACATCCCAAGGCCCTGTACAGTCAGGAATCCACACCCGAGCCGGTGGTTAGGATCAGGAGGAAGGGTAGGGGTAGGAAGGTGACCAAAGGCATGGATCAAAGAGGAGGGTCTTGAGACAGATCTTGAAGGAGGCAAGGGAGGGGATGAGGTGGAACGGTCTGTAGGATGGAGTTCCAGAGGGTGAGGGCAGAGAGGCTGAAGGCCTGCACACTAATGGTGGGGCGGGCAAGGCGGGGGATGTGAAGCAGGCTGGAGCTCGCTGAGAGGAGGGTGTGGACACATTGTAAGGGGGTTAGGAGGTCACAGAGGTAGGGGGGAGCAAGACCATGGAGGGCTTTGAAGGTGAAGACACATTCTTGAAC